ATTTAATTTAGGATTAATAATGAAGTAATTTATTTTTGATTTAATAAAATAATTTTTATAAAGATAATAATTGTTAGAACTCAATGATTATCTTTATCATATTTTAGATTTTTTATATTTAAAATAATATGTTTATATTGTACTTGATTATGTTTATGAATGAATGTTAGCTCTTGATGGAAGATTGAAGTTATCTAAACCCCGTGTAGGTGTTTTAAAAAATTATACCCAAGCATTTGAGAAATTATAAATTTAAAATTTAAAAATTAAGTAATTAATATTATATATCAATACGTAATGCTTAAAAAGTTGTTTTTAAGAATTTTTGTCAAATACTTTATAATATAATATAGATAAAAATAAGAGAATTTTGTTTAAAGAAATATAAAAAAGTTGTTGGAAAGGATCCATAAAGTAATAGCATTTTCAAGTAACTTTTGACGAGTATCGATGTAATCACATAAACAAACAAAAACCCGTGAATACTTGTGAAAGGTCTAGGAGCGAATTACACGTTTAGTTCCTCTAGTTACATTTTTGTTAACGTTCTCTATATATTTTTAAAAAAATATAATGAAATTATGTATGTGTAATTCTATTTTTCGAAATAAAGGGCCGTTTACCAAACGTTTATCCCGGGTAAATGCTTACTAAGTAACATTACCTCACCGCATGAATATGATAAAGACCAAAAACCTTACTAAGTAACTTAACGAGGATGATTTTGAGTTGGACGAAGAACCACAAGTCAGGTGACGAAGATTTTGAATTCAACTCCGATGCCGAAAGACTTTTGGATATAATTGATGATGATGATAACATGGGTGGATAGTTTTTAGATATGATATATCCACTCTAATATAACATATTAGAGTCTTAGAATACCAGAGATATATGGATTATAGAACCATGTGTAGATTGCTCTTTTTGTTATTATCTCTTGATATCATTTTTGTACATAATTTTTTTAATACCATCAAAAACAAGAAACATAACCTCAAATAAAGGAAACATCGTTGAATTACACGAGTTATCGTGCAAGTTCATTATGCAAGTACATGAATGTACATCTTATTAAAATACTGAGATTATTTGGTACACTAAGGGACCGTTTACCAAACGTTTACCCGGATGGTTGGACCAAAAATCTTACCCTGTAAGCGCTAAGGCAAGAACCAAGAGTCGTACCAGGTAAGTGATGGTGATAGCTCTTACCACAGTTAGCGCTTACTGGGTAAATTGTTGCATATGATATCGTTTTAGTGGACTAAAATCTTACTTGATAATGTTAAATTTTACCGGTAAGCGCCTAACCGAGTAAGCGTTCAGTAAACAACCCCAAACTAGTTAGCTAATTAACATTGTATTGTATTATATGCATATTTCATGGGTAAAAAGAAGAATGATACTTTTGAAGAGAAAGAAACATTCTGAAGAGAGGATTTACAAACGCACACTATGAAATTAATGGTTGATCTGAAACGGACAAAGTTTGCTTTAGTTCTTACTTATTAGAACAAAGATTTTTTTCCATCAATATAACAAAGTTCCAAATTTTCCTAACTAATCTAAACAAACTTCTAAAATTTCCTAATTCCTTAGACCCGTTTTTACCTATAACCCGGCAACACTTTGTTACACTAAATAGTTCCATTAAGAGGCAATTTCCGAATCGTTAAAAGGTGAATCTTGTTTGGAAAAAAAAAGTCTGCATCTTAATGGTTCTAAAACCCTATAAATGATTTTCTATCTTGTATCTTCCTTAACCATTAAGATCCCTAATTTCATTGTATACAATTAACAAACAATTAGATTTCATTTTACATTCTATCATGAGAGCCTCTTAATCATTATTCACCAAACCATTCAGCAATTGCCAAACAGTCTCTAAATAGAAAATAAACCAAACTAAATAGGTACAATAAAAAATTGGAAGTTTGTACATTAAAAAGGAAATTTTAATACTTCATTTCATTGATGAGGGGAAAAAATGGTTAACTAAACCACACTTCATTGCATTTTGATATCAGAAAAATCCCAACATGGCCATTTTAGAGATGCCATACCAGCTGATCATTGTTCTTAATTAACAATCAAAAAAGGAAATGATGGCTAATATCAGATTTGAATGAGTGAAACCATTTGGCTGAAATCATGCAAGAAATGATGTTGATTAGAATAAATAAGATTGAACCAACTTAACCTGCGTTGTGTCTTGCCATGCAACAGAGAAATTCAAGAGAAGGTTAAGGGAAAGGGAAGAAACCAGAAGTAATACGCGGCATGGGCGGAATTGGAAAGAGAACTCTTCTTCTGTTCACCAGAAGACATATTCATTTCTTTCCAACCCGACCATTCCACACATTACTTGCAGATCATCCTTTCCCTCTTCTTCTTATCCACACATTACTGCAAACTTGCCTCCGGTTCTTCTGTCACAGACCTTTGAGAAGCTCGAAATGCTTGAATCAAGCTGAATTATCAACTAACTTAGAAATCAGCAGGATAAAAGCCCATTACTCATAGTGAATCAATTCAAGATGGATAAAACTAATAGAATCAGAAACTCCACAAACCCATTTTCTGTTTCGCAAACCTATGAAATCTTCCATTATTTGCACATATGTATGTTTAACTTCATGTTTTCCTTGATCATTTCTTGCTCTAGATGGCCTAATTTCTGAATCTTATTTGTAGTCAAGTGGGTTTTGTACCACAGATCAGTAACTTGTTTACCAAAGGAGATCCAATACTACCTATTTCTGATTGAAATTATTACCAAAGGGCCAATCTTTGCTTCTTCAATCTCCTATATCATCCATTCCTAAGTTGAATTAATGAGACTAAAGCTAAAAAAAGGTAAAACACACAAAGAATCCACAATAACGGTCAGAAAAAGGAAAATGAAGCTATGAAAAGAAATAATGAATCCAATCATAATAGAAAATTCGGTGTGAAATTGAAATCCTCTTCAATTGTTTTCAATCCGTTAAATCCATATATGAACAGTAACATGAATAGTTTACATAAACAAACAGAAACTCTGGTGGCAACCTTTTTAGAAAAATTTCTTCACAAAATCATACTGAAATCGATGAAAACAATAAATTCGACCAATCAGCAGATAAGATCCAGAAATTACGCTAGCTAGAACTTGAAACTATTCAGAACATGAATCGCAACATAAACAGGAGCACTAAAAAGTACCAAATATCGTCTACTTTTTCCGTTTCCCTAAATCCATCGCTAAATCGATAAATTCCTTCACTATAATCCAACAAAAGCACGCAAGATAAAACATGAATGTAAACATACACAAGTGCAAATAATGGAAGATTTCACCTAGGGTTTGCGAACCAGAAAAGTCGACGACACCTCAGATCTGGGTAGATTGATTCCATAATTACCCTTAAGCCATTCTTATAGACACCGTTAATTGCAAAAAGCCCCCTGAGATTTATGTTATTTTCATAAAAAGAACAAAAGTTTTTTAAATTACATATCCAACTAAAAAAAATGTCAATTCATGTTCATACTTTCAAAATCATATCAATCAGTTAGAGGATGTTTAATTTGACGAATGATTTAGATTTCATGAAAGGATTTGAAATTGGATCTTTGCTGTGTAGAGATGTTTTAATCTTTTTGGAGGCCCTGTTATATCCAAAAAAAAATTATTACATTGCATAAATGAGATAACAGAGAATATATGTTAATAATAGTATATTATAAGATTAACTAACGAATATGGTAACGAGATATTTCTAAATTTTGAAGTGGTTATTACTAAAATATCCGAAATCATAAATATACGATGACGAGTTATAAAAACAACATTTATATGTAGGCAAGCGGTTAAAATTTAGATAAACAAAATTCAGGTTCTCAGAATGCAAAATTCCATTAAATGTACGATACTTTGGAGGGGAAGAAATATGTAAGAGGTTTAAAAAATTCATGCAACCAAAACGAAACCATGTTGAATTAGAGTATTGTAAAACTAAAGGTCTAGAACTAACAAGTTGGTTAAAGTAAAGGACTTAAATGGTATTTATCTTATATATAAGGGGCATGAAAGGTTGAATTTATTGACATCCACGTTGGATGCCTTCTGCTTTACGATTCCACTTGCGTCTCTCTTGGATTCCAAACTTGTCCGTCAATACATTTTTCTGTTAGGGTTTTATTGAGATTGTTTATAAAAACAACTTATTGATTTATTTCAGTGTGATATTAATAATAAATATTTTTAAGTGTTTAGATAAACAGCTTATACTGGTAATAAAAAAATTTTGAAAAAATTAAACCATTCTAACTTATAATAAGTTGATAAGGCTTTTTGTAGAAAAGCATAAGTTGTTTCAAATAAGCAATCTCAAACACCACCTTAAAAGCTCATGTATTCAACGAAACATAAATTAACTTATTTTTTCTACCACAAAAGATAAAGAAAGGAAAAAGCAAAAGAAGAGATCTCCTCATTTGTAACAATCCTAATTAAATATCAACACTAATGAGACGAGATGCATCGAATCAATTCCATCTAAAGCGAATTTCATGGGTAAGAATGAGATTAAAAATGATCAAGTATTCAGATCTCTTTCTTAGCTTGTCACTGTAACTTCCCTTGTCACACGATCATTCGCCTTTATATTTATGTTCTTACCATTTTTATCTATTAAAAGGGTGTTTGCGATTACTTATTTAAAACAATTTATACTTTTCTATAAAAGCACTTATCAATTTATTATAAGTCAGAAGGGTTTAACTTTTTCAAAAACTCCTTATTACCGGTTTAGCACCGGTATAAGTTGTTTATCCAAACATTAAAAAGTACTTATTACCAATACCATATCGGAACAAGTCAATAAGTTATTTTTATAAGCAATCCCAAACACCCCCTAAATTCGTTCAAACAATGAACAAAAAAGTTGACGACTATTAAGACGAGCAACATGTGAAAAAAAGATGGTATGTGCAAACAAGCATCAAGAACTGTAAACAAAAAAGTACAATACGTTAAAACAACAAAGAAAAGACAAAACGCAATACTGACAATTTATGTAAGACAAGATCCCGATCTCCTAACGAAACCGAGTCCTGCCAACTGCAGACGCAAAACTCGACCAAAAGATGCAACAACAATTTAAGAAGCGACCTTAGTAGCATTTCACAACCAAAATTGTTTGTGAATTTGTACATTTGAAAAGCAACCATTCCCACTATACAGTTTGGGGGTAAAAGGGTACATGTTGCAATAGAACAACACAGTGAAAAAAACTCAGATCATAACAACACTAACCATGAGCTCTGCAACAAAAACATGGTCTCATAAAATTTAAAACCTCGCAAACTCGAACCTGAAATGGAACATAAAACATTTGGAAACAGTTAGATGATTGTTTAATAAATATGTAACAGACTTGTAACGAAAAGCGAAAAGACCAAGTGTCGTTTCGGGTTTAACCAAATCAGAAAACGTCAACCTAGAGGGACAAACTCCTACTACACAAGTTACAAGCCATCAATTTAAAGGATTCAAGAAAGTGAAACAGCTTTGATGAAAGTATTAAGTGCAACACGTACCGTTGTGTGGGCTAGGCAAATTAAAAATTCATAAAAACCAGTTTTATCATCAGAATATTCGGTGATCAAACTCTATTGGGACATCACGGAAACTCTATCTGTACTTTGGGTAGAGGTCTAGTCTACTGTACTCGTTTGGTTTCTTTTGGGTTTATCCGACAAACCCATAATTAACTAGACTAGATTATTACGAGAAGTGAACAAAACACAAGCAAATAAGAAAACAAAGAGAGGGTTCGAAGCAGATAAGAAAATCAAAGCTCCAATTATTTGGGCGGTAGAAGGGTAAATATTTTATGCTTCTATGACCAAACGTATAAGATGTCCAATAATTTGAGGTTCTTTGTTTCTTGTTTGGACCTGCAAGTACCGGGAGCCTTTAAAGAAAAACTAGAAATGACGAAAAATCGAGCCAAACCCTCAATAAATGCACGTCACTCTGCACCAAAATTAGCTGAGTGAATCTTTTTTGTTCTTTCTAAATTTAAATGATTTGCACTTAATTAACACGCTTAATGGTTTGAGTGATTTATCACTAAGCCATATACGCACGTCTGTTTAAAACTTAATCAATAAGTCAGTGTCTTAAGCGCTAGTATGTATTCCCCATTCAGGCAAGCCTTTTTCCCATTATACCCTTTCATCTTTGCAATTCGCCTCCAACAGCAAATGGGAAAACATTCAGCAAATTAGTCATTTATTACTTATTTCAGACAGGCGTCTTTACCCACGCAGGACTTGATGGAGAAAACAAACAAGACATTTCATGAATGGATTGACTTCAATCAAACAAATAAGTTGCTTCAAAAAAGAGGAAGAGGACAATATTGATCCACCATAGTACAAGAATAAATGAGATTAAATTTTACAAAAAACCAAGATTCAAGAGATGTATCGATGCCTAAACACATATACCCTCCGTCCCCATGGAAAATGTGATTTGTAATTGAGCATATAGTTTAAAGAAGTGATTGACCACTAGTTAAATGTCTAAAACCCCCTTAGATAACGACACAATAGGAAATCTTATATACTCGAATCAAATAATCAATGTGTCGCAACGATGGCAATATAGAAAATAGGTAACTTTAACCAAAAAGTTTAAAAAAGAAACATTACTATTTTCATAAGACATCCCAAAATGTAAATTGTTGCAATGTTCATTGGCTAGATAGAGTATTATCGTAGCAGCTTTTCATTTGAATTTCTTTATTTTATATTTTATTGAGGTTCCGAACAATAGATAAAAGAAGACAAACAAAACAATATCGAAAGGAAAAACAGGTTGTATGAAACTGTATATGCAATATCTGCCTAAAAAAACCCAACATATTTAAAAAATGCTAACAAATATGAAAAGGGCGACTTTTTTACCATCTCTTCAACTACGTTGAAGAGTTCATCTAATCAATATATACACTTAATTGATTACACTTATATATTATCTTGGCTCATATTTTAAATTAATTCAAATGAAATTTCTCCGGTGTTAATCTGAAGGTCTTATGGAGGGCTTTCTTTGGGAAGGGGGGAGAGGTGATTCCATTTAGTTTTTTAAACTTTCATTGAATCACCTTCTCTTCTGGATTCAGTGTACTAGACTAGAAATAAATCATTTATTCAGAGAAATTAAAAACATTAAAAAAAGAAATGATATAAACAGGTAACACAATGCAAAACCATAAAAGCATGCAATAAGAGATGCTACTTTGGTACCTGGATCAACTTGACTTTACATGGACCTCAACTATGTCATCATCTTCCATCTCAAGACTGCTAGGAGTAGCTTTGGGGTCAATTTTATCCCCATCAAAGCAAAATACCAAGCTTTCTATCTTATGCTTCACTTTGTCAGCATACATTTTGAAAAGCCGCTCAAACTTATCATCCTACAAAAAAGAGAACAATGTGAGAATCCAGAATAACAGAACAATGACAATAGAACTATAATTGGCAACTTGGCAACATATGTGAGTATACTTTTCACAAGAATCGATGAAGAAACTTTTCTTGATTGAGATATTTTTTTCGTAAAGATGCCTGATGAGGAAACTTCCGCACATGCTATTTCCTAGAAGACCAGTCTGCACAGCTCACCTTTGAGTGTACAATCTCGGTCTATTTAACAATATACAAGCCTCTATGATGACTCGTAACAATGTCGTTTACCTTAATTTGGTAAGTAATCAAGCTTTTATATTACTCCCGTGTCGCAAAATAAGAGTCTCCCATTTCTATTTTAGTTTGTCAACAAATAAGTGTCCACTTTCAGAAGTAAGTGTCCACTTTCAAATTCTACCCTTAATTAGAAGATGGAGAAATTCATTAGTCCCTCTATTATCAAGGGTAAAATTGTCATATAGTTAAAAAAGTGAAATAATTACACATTTCCAAAACAGAGCCTTTTTCGTCGTGGACATTTATTTCAGGATGGAGGGAGTATTGGATGTTATACAACTGGCTATTTTCATCCTAATTAAGATTAGGCATTCTACGGAGGTACCGAAGCGATAATAAATAAATAAAAACTATCTCTAGTTTGATTCAGCATTTACTAACTAAAGATATTATGCAATTAAATATTTAAACACTACCAAAGTTGTTATAGGCTCAAGGCGCACTTAGGCACGAATGGGTCCTGGGTCTAGGCGTGAGGCATGGTCCTTGGGAATGTGAGGCACATCTTATATAAAAAAATTATATGCACACACACAGAGTTAAACACAACTCAAATATGTAGCAAGTACAAGCCTCCATGCAACAACCGACAGTACTTCGATAGAGGGAGAAGGGTTTAAAGCGTGAGCCATGGGGGAAAAGTTTTAAGGTCTGGTAATTTATAGAGAAAGAGGCTTGAAGTTATAAGAACCGGGATAATCTATTTAACAAGTCTTTTTTTAAGACGTCTAGAAGATAAAAAAGATGAGAAAACTTATTTAATATTGGAGTTTGACTTGGTATTTAGTAACTCTTTATGAGGCACACCTAGGCCCACAAGGTGCCTCAGCCAAGGCGCAGGGCCTTGGTTAGCCTCATGAATACGCCTAGCCTCGAGACTCTAAAAGCCCAAGACCTTGTGAACCTAGAGCCTAGGCAACTATGAACACTATCATGCATAAGGGGCACAAAATACTAGAAACATCCAAAATACTGTAAGATTTTGTTTATATCTTTTTAGCACGAAAGAGCCTACTTTATAGATACGGAACTGCTTCAGACCGTCCTTTTCTTGGATGGATATAACTATCTTTGGCCTTTCTATAGCAGGTTTTGACGGCTTCCCCGTAGGATTTTCACATGCTGAATTCATTGAGGATGTAAGATCTCTTTTGACAGCCTCTTCAACAGATCGCAACATGTCTTTAGCTGATTCAGTAAATGACATCAACTCCTGCTTCTTCAGCCTATCATCACAAACATAAGCCAATAAAGAAAGCAGAATATACCAAAAAAAGAGCGAGAGTCCCTACTGAACCGAAGTCTACAAAAGGCAAATCCATCTTCTAGTATGCATTACATGTGAAGCTTTGTGATGACTGATGAAATCAAAATTAGCAATCAAAATCATAAGATCCGGTTGCACACATCTATTAGCTCTGGATGACCTATAGAAGATGGTTATGATTAACAAATAACTTTTACCAAAAATTGGATAGTGATAACAAAGAAATGGCTCTGCATTGTTCTAAATTTAAACGAATTGGAACTGGAACCAATTATGACGTTATAGAAACAAGAATAAAGAATGGATTGGAGGACACTAGCTCAAACCTAATGAGAAATAAATTCAATATTATAAAGAGCGTGAACCCTGGCTCCAAGGGTTGTAAACATGTATAGAATCCTCTAATGCTCATATAAAGACCAGCTCAATACCTTTCAACCATCACTTGTAACGTTTACCCTTCAACCTGAGCGGTATTTTCTTATCACACCAACTTCACTCTGTTTTTATCCTATGCCTCAAGAATCTCTCTGATCTGATTGCGAGTAGCAAAAGATGTCATTCCAATTTCGAAGCTACTTTGAGCATGCTTATCATACTTTAAACATCTAATGCAGCTAATGTTGCACACTATGTACTACATCTGAACCGAACTTAAGTCTGAAACCTCCTGGACTCGAATAACGCAGCAGGATGCTTCTTATACAAAATTTAGATAGTAAATAAAGTTGATACCATTTTCCGACCACTTCCTTATAACTGAATATTTATTTCATTATTTTTCAATAACTGCTCTATAAAGTAACTACAAGACAGAAGGACATTTAATAGAAAAAAGATAACATGAGTAAAAATTGTCAATAAATGCACGAAAGATTTGCTCAATGGTGCGGAAATAAAGGGAGTGCGGAAATAAAGTGACGTGAAGATCTATATCTACGGCATTAGACCATTAGTTTCAAAAAGAATGTAAAAGTTTGTTGTTGACTTGTTTAAAACGGTAATATGGTCATTCCACTAGTCCCTCCGGCTGCTTGATTTGAGCTCTCTTTCGCTCTCTCTCTCTCTCTTTTCTTTCGGGAAGGGGGTGGGGTGGAAAATCCAGGCTCTTTTTCCATTTCTACTAAAATACATGTACTCTAGTATTGAGCCTACAAGATCCCATTGCGATATTGCAGTACTGAGATCTTCAAATCTGGCGAAAGCAATACAGGGGGGAACAAAAAAATTGGTGGAAAGCCATACACAGGCTTCATAATGCTGTCAACCAATTTTACATTCAAAATATCATCAGTAAATATTATTATAGCAATTCTATGTCATGACAAGAAGTCATCAATGGATTGCTGAGCCTCAGGAAAACAAGATCGCCATCCATGAATTATAGAAAGTAAAACAAGTTCCCAATTAAATATACCTCAACTCCTTTATAATTGAATTCTCACATAGCTTCTTGTCAACAGCCACCTTGGGTGGCGGGGCCAACCAATCCAAATCATCATTGTCTTCACCCTCATCGATATTAATTACTTTGGCAGCCTCTTGTACCTTTACAGCCTATCCAATTTAAAATCACAGGGGTAAACACACTACATACCATAGGAAAGCCTGTATTTTTGAGAAAACGTCAAAATCTTTTCACCAACTAACCTATATTTTACCCATTATCACATTAACAGACACTTGGTAGGATATAACATGCTTCTAAGCAATTATATGATGAATACTTTGATAAGATATAACAGATACTTTAGTGAATTTCGACTGTTGCATATCATATTTCTCGGCTCTGTTCCAATTTCCAAAGAGAGAACATTTGATCCATATTTGTTAAAACCACTTCCTTTTCAAATTCCATATAGACATTCATACATCTTACACATCATATTTCAAACTTCTTGCAGTTTTTCATACAAAAACGAACTGAAACCAGGCGTGTAAGTAGAAAAAAGAGCTTACAGCAGAAACGTTGTGTTTCCTGCGCTTGGAAGGAATCGGAGGGACGTCCAAGTAATCATCTGCAAAATCATTAATAATCATCAATTTCATTGGCAAAATCCACATCATAACACATAAAACAGAAAACAACCAAAATTATACACAGGTCGAAAGAGAACAAACCATCGTCAAGGCAAACGACATCAAAAGGCTGAACACGAGAGTAATCAAATAAAGGCTCGAGCTCTTCCTCTGGTTCCGCCTATTACAAAAGGACAAACGAAATCAATTGGAAACCCTAAGAAAGATTTCCTTTTTAAATTCTGAAAAAGAAAGAATCGCACCATTTTTATTGAATCTATGCTGCTCTTGTGTTGATTGATCGGTGGTCCTTCCATTAACTGACTGTTGTGTTGATTGATCGTTGCTCCTTCGATTGACTATTGTTGTGTAGATTGATCGCTGCTCCTTCGATTGAATTCTCAGAAAAAAAACTCAGAAATTACGAAACTTCTAGTAACGCATAAACCCTTTCTTTTTATCTATCCCCCAAAAGATCCCATCCAATTTCCATAGCCGGCCATGAAAGCCCAAAGTAAGGTCGACAGGGTGCTCACTGCTCAGGCCCCTAATATTCAAATTAACTTTTTTTAAATAAATCCGTTTGAATTTATAAATTCAAAATAAAATGGGTTATTGACCAAAATGACTTTTTGAAAAAAAAAATTCAAAAATAACTCTAAAATGTTACAGAATAATCGAAAAATAACAACAATAAAATAGAGAGAATAAATATATGACTCTTATTAATCCTAAATTATTTTATAGAGATAAGTTACAAGTAGATAACTACGAGATATTTCACTTATAATCTTATACTATATTATAAACCATTTGACAAAAACTCTTAAAAACCATTTTTATGCGTAAAGTACTGTTTATTAATGCATATTACTTAAAATTCAAGATTGCAAGTAGATTGTGCGTAAGTACAACTTATTAAAGCTCATTATCTGAATTCGTGTAACTAACTGCAGATAAACATAATCAAATAAAGAATAAACATCTCATTTGAAATATAAAAAAATCTAAAATATAATTAGGATAATCATTGAGTTCTAACAGAATACTTAATTATTATCTTTATACAATATTATATTATTAAACCAAAAATAAATTATTTCGTTACTAAACTTAAATTAAATTATAATAAAAAAATAAATTAAAGAAATTACACAAAATAGAATTTTTAAATAGTTGATTTGATATTAACATTGATATATTTTTTTTTTAAATTTATATGATATTTTCAAATTTATATTTTATTCAAAAATATAATCATTATTGCTTTATTAAAAACATATAAAATCGTATTATAACTTCGATAGAGACAAATAATAAAATAGAACATTAAAATCGAGATGTATCTCGCTGCATTGCTCGGAGTACTCTTCTAGTTTAACTATAATATATTTATTTCTATCTCTATCGTCAAATCTTTTAGACGATGACACACTTATCCTACAACACTCCCCCTTATGTCGAGTCAAATGAGTGATGGTGCACAACTGTTGTCTCGTTAAAACCTTATGCCAAAATGGAAACTCAGTGGGAAAAAATAAAATTTGGACGAAGGCAGAAGTACAACGCACCAGTTTCTTTGCAATATATAGACTTTTCCTTTTAGTCCAATATTCTTTCAGATTCTTACATTAATCATGAGCGTTAGGAAAGCAATATGACATATAAATTGTTGTCTCACTAAAACCTTATACCAAGAAACAAAACCCAATGGGAAAAATAAAACATTGGGTAAAGGAAACAGCAAAACATACCAATATCACATGTATAGTAGGCTCCCCCTTTTGTCTACTACTCTCTTGATACATACATTAATCAAGGGAGTTTGGAAAGTCTCCATATTCCAATTTTTTCCACATGTTTCTAAAATGTGGCCTTAGGCAGTGATTTGGTAAACAAAAATAGCCACATTCTCCTTAGACCTTACTTGATTCACTTGAATCTTAAGTAGAGTATTGTTGTTGATTATGGAAAAACTTGACAAACTATGTTTTGTATTATCACCCTTGATATATCCTACTTTCATTTGTTCAATACAAGCTGCATTATCTTCATATATGTATGTAGGATTTTGAGTGGTTGAGCTTAAACCAATAGCCCCTATTATATGTATAATGACAGACTTTAGTCATATACACTCTCGAACCACCTCATATAGGGCAATAATCTCTGAATGGTTCGAGTAGGTAGCTACAAGGGTTTGCTTGGTAGATTTTCAAGAAATAGCCGTGTTCCCAATTGTAAAAAACATATCCTATTTGGGAACCACCTTTGTATGGGTCAGAAATATACCCATCATCGCAAAGCCTACTAATATATCATTTGGGGTTTCACTGTATGAGATAACGCTTTCTTTGTTAATACCTGTAACAGATATTATAGCCCCAGTTTTTTCTTTGTAGGGAAAGAATAACTCCATGTCGATGGTTTCTTTTAGGTATCGAAATATATTCTTGATACCATTCCAATGATATTGCGTTGGAGCCCAGCTTAATCTAGCTAATAACTTCACTAAAAATGCAAATATCTGGTCGAGTACATTGTGCTAAGTACAATAGTGTGTCTATTACACTTAGATAGGGAATTTAAGCTCCCAACACCTCTTTGTCATCATCCTTTAGATGAAATAGATCTTTCCTTATATCCAACATTTCGACCGATCATAGGAGTTCTAGCCGAATGTACTTTGTCCATATTAAATCGTCTGATCATTTTTTGGACATATGTGGATCGGTGGAATAATATTCCACAAACTCGTTGTCCTAGCTCAAATAGCTAAGACAAAACCAAGTTTTTCCAAGATCTTTCATCTCAGATTTAGATTTCAAGTATCTCGTGGTTTCTCTTATTTCATCAATAGTGCTATTATGTTCATAACATTGACATATAGAGTTACGATTGTAAGTTTGGAACTCGCTTACTTTATAAATACACAAGGGCACGATTCATCGTTCTTATATCCCTTTCCAATCAAGTATTCACTTAGGCAAGTATTACATATCCTTCTAGATTGCTTTAATCTATAAAGTGAGCATTTTAATTTTATTGCAAACGTACTTTATGGTTTAGAGTTACTTGATTTGGATAATATAATGTCATCAAACACTTATATATATATATATATATATATATATATATATATATCTGAATCCCCATCGAGATAACCACATCATTAAGCTACAATCCCAGCCCTTAGGGAACTACTAGGCAAATTAATTAGCAGAACGTTAAAACATCCATCACGGGAGAATAAGTCTTCTCATGGTCAATCCAGGGCACTGTAAGAAATCTTTTGCCAAAGGAAATCCTTATACAATATGACTTAATTATTCTCATTACGCTTTCTGACAAATGATTTATCTACGTCATACAAGCTTTATACTTGGTGTATTAGCACTACCTGACCAAATACCCGTTCATTTGTCAAGTAGTATAATTTTACAGGATTGTTTCTTTTCATTTAGGCCATGTTTTCTCTTCGTTAACATTTTTCAACTGAGCATGATATCATCGTGCTCTATCATCTTATGAGCAACAATATATATGATATATTTCATCAATGAGTATGTATGATCTCTCCATCAACTTATGTGCACTCTCATAATTCATTTGAGATTTCTTAGATCTTTGGAACCAATATTAACTTCGGAGCGTCCTCCAATAATGATTCATATACATAGTTTTAATCAGAGACAATTTTAGAAGTTTATGTATTGATGATAAGAATGGTTGTGACTTACTTTTCTTTTCCTTAGATGAGTATCTATTGAACCAAGTAGCTTCCCCCATTTCCTTTTGGGAGCCCTGACCTCAACCACACCTCCACCATGTGTGATTGTAATGCACTTTCCAGCGGCGTTGTGGACTTGTTTGGGGACTTTTAACCTTGCGGGTATATTTGCAGCTGACATATGTGATCTTGTCACTCCTTGAATAACATTAAACGTATCATGTATCGAGTGTGATTCGTTTGACTTCAACTTTACATTGTGAGTTTAAGGATCAAAATGAGACATAATGAGAATATTTTATGACACTTCCTGTCGTTCCCATGGAAAATCCTTTTTTCTATCTCCCTCTAACGATAGGAAGACTGTCTCATCAAAGTGACAATAGAAAATCTTGCGGTAAATAGATCATACGTCAAGGGTTCTAAGTGGATAATTATTGGGGACTCATATCCAACATATATATTTAATCGTCTTCGAGGGCCCATTTTAGTGTGTTATGGGGGCGCAATTGGCACGTATACTCACAACCAGATATGAACAAGTGTGAAATATCAAGCTCATATCCAGTTACCAACTGGTAGACAGAAAATGGTTGGTTATCAGTGGGTCTAAAATGAATAAGTAGTGATGTATGTAATATTGCATAACCCCATGCAGAAGTGGGTAAATTGGTGCGCATAAATAATGCCCTAACTACCATCTATATCCTTTTGATAGTAGCTTCTGCAAGACCATTTTGTGTATGCACATGGGGTACAGGATGCTCTACATCGATCCCCATAGACATGCAATAATCATCAAATGCTTGCGACGTAAATTCTCCAGCATTAACAGGTGCTGAAGTTTGGAATTTATTTCACTTCTGGTTTATAATTTATAAGAGTGATGCTAAAATCTTAAATCTGAATTAATAAGACTGTTTATTTTTTAAACTGATAAATGTATTGGAGGCTCATATTTCGTTCGATTTTATCGTTTCTGTATCCAAAATTCAATATAGGTGGATACATACCCTATACATTTGTCTCGCTTCCACTCATTTACCGATGCAATTTCAAATACTTGAACGGTCGACTCCTTTTTTTATTTTTAATTAAAAAAAATGGTCCATTTTACCTATTAAAAAATTATAATGTTGAATTTATAGATACGTTTATACAATTCCACATATCTATTCATCATCATCATGAAATTTACATTTAAATTATATAATTAACATCCATTTAAACGAAAATATGTCATTACCAGTAGGAAAGGGAATGAAAGGAAAAAAAAATTAAAACCCTTTAAAAAATTATTAGAATCGCTAAACTACTCATTCTTTCATAACAAATAACATATTTTTAAAGTGTATTTTTTTTTTAAAAGATGCATTTGCTTTCTCTTATGTTTAATAACATGAAAAATTATCTTCTTTCTTTTCCCTCCTTTTCTTTTTCTCCACAAATTCGAGAACACATTGTAAGTACAGAACTAAGATTTTTAGTAGGAAAACAGCTCTCACATGTAGTGCTAAGCTTATTATACAAGGAGCTAAAAGTTCTCACTTTCTATCCACGTGGGACGAGTTGTTACAAACTCTCTCACTCAAACTCCTGACGTCCGCGTCAGGCCTATCCAGAATCTTCCTCCTTATCATCGGCAATGTGAGATCCGTCTAAGATGTTACAAACACCCCCTCTCGAGAACTCATCATACCCAATGAGGTTTGCCCCACCATCTTGATGGTACAAGGATCAACTCTGAGCCTATAATACCATTTTTAACACACCAAAAGGCCAAAGCAACGGACTGACCCAAAAACTTCGAATCCAACTTAAAACCACGGTGAAAGTAATTGGTATCCAGTAGTTGGGACTTATAAGGAGCTAAAAATTCTCATTTTCTATAAATGTGAGGAAAGTTGTTACAAGTAAAATAGATAACTTAAACAAATTCTGACATTTATCAGTTTACAAAAACAAACAGTCTTATCGATTCAGGTTTTAAACTCAAACCACAAGGGTGGTGCCTGATTGGTTTGAGTTTGGCTCCAAAGATCAAAAGTACATGGAGGTCCCAAGTTCAAATCCAAGGAGGAATAAAAAAAAATCTCCTTGTGGCCACAGAGGTTCAAATGCGTGACTTCGGACTATCTGCAAAGCAGGTGGTCGCCATGGGATTAGTCGGCTCGCATAGCGGGTTGGATATCCAGGTTAATCAAAAAAAAAAAAAACTTAGCACCACGTCTTATCAATCAAAAATGAAATAACATTTAAGACTTCAACCTTTTAAAAAGTAAACGTCACCTTAATTTCAGCCCCATCCCATGAATTATGCTTGTCAGGAATTGATTCAATGCATCACATATGTTGATCTTCAATTAGAATTGATCAAGGGTGGAAATTGCTTCTTACCCTTCTCACTATAACTTTTATTCTTACATAACCCAACCCTTCATGCAAATACCCTAATTATAGTGAAGGGTAAACCAACCTCTTATTTGCCTCTTATTCTTATTGTTCATCAAACCCTCAACAACGACGTTTCTCAATTGATTAACCTTAACTAATCATTTCTCCCAATTGATCTATAATCAAATCAATCTTCACCTCTCTCAGTTGATTTATTTTAATAGGATTAAAATGTGTTAAATACCGGTAATGATATATTTTCGTTTAAATGGATGCTAATTATATAATTTCAATGTAAATTTCATGATGATGAAGAATAGATATGTGGAATTGTATAAATGTATCTATAAATTCAACACTACAATTTTCTAATAGGTAAAATGGACAATTTTTTTTAATTAAAAAAATAAAAAAATGAGTCAACTGTTCAAGTATTCGAAATTGCATCGGTAAATGAGTAAAAGCGAGACAGATGTATAGGATATGTATCCACCTATATTGAATTTCGGATACAGAAATGATAAAAATCGTTTTTGATTGGACCAAATATGACACTTCCATATATTTATCAGTTTAAAAACTAAACAATCTTATTAATTCAGATTTAAGATTTCAGCATCACTCTCATAAATTATAAATCAGAAATGAAATAACACTTGTTTACACTTTGGGCACATGGAGAAGAGTAAGAAGGGTGTACAAATTGAACCTATATCACACACTTATTTATATCAACTAATTAATAGAAACAATTTTCATTACTCATATTCCTACATGAATATAATTTCTAATATCATAGAAAAAGCTTCATATACAAATATCAATAACATCAACAAACCAACATACTCATACAGTGTTATCGGTACCAACGTTTGTTACAGGCCCTTTAAACCAGTGTCGTGCGCTCACTATCCAATACGATACGACGATAATGAAAAGACCACCAACTGCCACCGGCGTATAGTTGAGAGTTTGATCAGTAACTGGGTACGCTACGGGTAAAGAGAATAGCACTGAAATGGTCATGACCCAAAGGACCGATATCCAACCAATAGCGACACCATACCGGCCTAAATTGAAAGGTCCAGGTATGAAGGAGTTACGAGCCAAGGTGACCCTAAAGAATATTGGTAACGCGTAGGCAATATACAACCCGATCACGGCTATTGATGTCATGGCTTGAAATGCCACTATGCTTCCTAGAGACTGCAAAAATGTTTATTCAACAACATACACAGTTAATACCGAATCATTTCCGGATTTTATATCGTACGTTTTAAATTGGTATGATTACATCAAGTAAAGAATCGAGTTCCTAAGGATAAAGATTTGTGCGATAACCATTGATAGCTTCCATCTAAAGGGTTGTTTGGTAAATGCTGAATGATTAAGAGACTTTGTATGATTTAGTACAAAATGAAAAATGATTGTTTGGTAGTTGTTCAGAATGAACAGTCTAATCACTGAAAATCACTAATTTAACACTCCGTATGGTTCAATGTAGAATGAAATATGACCGTTTGACAAGTGTCATTAAAATTACCATTTGTTGATTGAACGGAAAATGTTATCAACGGTTAGCAGTTTAGCGGCATTCACATGGCCCTTGAGGTAGAGGTTTTCCTCGGGCGGTCACCTGAGCTTTTGAGGGCAGTATCCTATGAGTGATTAAGGGATATCCATATCAGCTAGACTTGAACCCTTTCTTCTCAATATATGTTAGAACCTTCCCTTTTGTAAGGGCTCTTTTGGAGAGTAATTTGATGTGGTTCCACACATTCAAAACAAAGGTCTACCAAATGAAGTTTGCATTTAAGGAAGGTGTGAAGTAGGTTGTTTGCCATATTATGACATTTTATTTTCGAAAAAGATGCAAAGGGAAACTGTAACGACATGTCGAGGGTTGGTTTAGTTCACATACCGTAAGGGCCATGCAGAATGCTATCAGAGCCGAGAGCCAAACAGCATAAATAGGGACTTCATGGTCGTTAACTTTATGCCATAGTGACGACAAAGGCATGGCTCCATCTCTTGAAAACGCATACACCATCCTGCCAATCGCCTTCCCGTTGTTAGTTTTCGACAAAAACAAGGGCAATCATAATCTACATATACTACTGATAAACCAAATCAAACCAAACGAATCCAGTAAATCCCATACGGACTGACAAAGACTTTCCTCTGCCCCAAGGAATAGAGACACTAGTTCTGAATTATTACCGCTTAAAACCAAACCCAACCAAACCAAATAACGTGAATACCTCTAGCTAGATCAGATGGTAAACTAGTTCACAAAATATAATAAAACCTTAGCTGTTGTGAATGTGATTATCGATCCTAACAGTTACCTAGAATTGCTTGTGAGCGAGCTCATGCCACAGAAAAAAATGGCGACAGCCACGACTAGCAAGCAAATGATACCTCCAGTACCACTCCCGAATCGACTCTTAAAAGCTTGGTAAAAAATCTCAGCAATGGCGTATCCGCCAGCATCGTTATCCAGGCTCAAAAGAGCTGGGATATCAGTAACCGTAAACGTTATACCAAGCAAATAACCCCATCCAACAATTATAGATATCCCAATAGAACTAATGATTCCTTTCGGCCCGTTTATATCTGCACTCTTGGTTTCCTCTGACTGCAACCAAAATTCATCGAAAACATAGGCAAGAATACTAAGAACACCATAAAAACCGCATTTATCAACCAAATTAACAAAGAATAGAAAACTAACCATATGAGCTGAGGCATCATACCCTGTTAACGTATACTGGCTCATAAGCAATCCGATAAGAAATATGTACGGTTTACTGTTGATTCCCGCATCGTTATCTGTATTAAAATGCGTAAAAACAAACTCGGCACTAGCCCTTTCTTTTGCAACCACGGGTATGCAAATCATTAGAAAAAAGACGCCAAGAATATTCCAGGCGGCCGCAACTTGTCCAAAGAAGGATAGCCACGAGATTGGGAGGCTGTTTATGATAGCATGTACAAGAAGAATACCACCGTGAATGGCAAGAACTATGTATTTAGACGCCTGATAGCCGCCTCCGTTCTTGCCACCGGTGCTGAGAAGAATTATCACTTGAATCAACTGAGCGAGTGAAAAGTTGACGCTCGTCGTCACAGCCCACTACAGAGGTACAAAATTTCAATTGACGCTTTGTTTGGCAAACTGGCTGATAAGTTAATGGTTGACTGAGAAGACACTGTGTGCTAATAATTTGTAGCAGATAAACTAGTCATTTTTGATAAACTTTAGCTGATAAGACAACGTAAAAATGAGCTAAAAGACATGTTGAAAAATTAACAAGAAAAATAATTGGAAAAAAATGGGAAAAATTCCCTTGAGTTTATGGAAAGGATACTTATTAAAAAGCTAGCTTATAAATGCTGATCTCTCAACAAACTCAAAAATAAAATAACATATACTTGGCTTAATGTTTCCAAACATGGCCCAGATTAGAATGAGGTATTCATGCTTTTCAGATTTTAAATACTAGGAATCACAAGATATATGATTTTTGAGTACCTGGCCTACAATGTTGTACCTGCAAAAAAGCCAAAAAGAAAGAGAAAAAAGAAATTAGAATTAGAATATAATTACCGAAAAGTATATAGGTTATACCAAACCAAACGAGCCCAATATATCCCACCCCTAGGTGGGGTCTGAGAGTGTAAAATATACACGGTCCCGACCTCTACCAGAAAGACTAGAGTGGTTGTTTATGTGAAGACGATAGCAATAGATTGAAAGAGAGAAACAACAACAAAATGAATTGTGCAAAAAATTATATAAGCAATGATTTAAATTATTTGTAATCACCAAAGAGCTCATTTCGTATAGAAGCATCAGCGCTGCACAAAAAGGGTATGCCTCTGCCCGATAACCTCAAATTCATTAATACAGCAAAAAGAACCGTCTATCTCTTGGCCATAGTAATTTACAACACCTCCATATATCTATGTGTATATATATATATATATATGTATGTATATATATATATATATATGTATGTATGTATACGGAATTGGGTGATAGAGTAAATGTATAGAGAAATAAAAGCAGTTTATATACCAGCCGGTTATCCAAGAAGCAAAGGGTGCCCAACTACGGCCAGCAAGTCTGGCACTCCAATAATAGAGTCCACCAGAAGTTGGGTAAGAAGAACAGATTTCAGCCATAGACAAACCAACTGCCATGGTGAAGACACCAGCAACTAGCCATCCATAAACTAACACAACAGGTCCACCAAATCTCAGACCACTATTGTATAGTGTGGTTATACCTGTAAGCACCGATATAATCGAAAAGGAAAACGCAAAATTTGACAACACCCTGCAAATTCCAAAACCCTCAAATTAAACATCCAGATTCACGATTGAATTGGGTCTTTAAGAAACAATGGACAGGGATTAATGAGAAACATTACGAGAGATCACGCTTGAGTTCTTGCTTGTATCCCAGTTCGTTTAATCTGGAGTGGCCTGAATCTTGTGGGTGTTTGCCGTTTTCCGATTGAATAGGGATGACAGAACCCACCATTTTCTGAAAAGATTTGAGAGAAATTTGAAGGGTGTTTTTGAGTATGAAACTAAAAATCCCTTTTTCATCAATCTTGGTGTTTGATGATTGTTGTTATATATAAAATATTATATAAGAGGTATGTATGCATCGTGTGGAATCTAATTTGTTGGAAGGAGTGTTAACTGTGAATATGGTGGTCAAACAAGGAGGAGTTAAATTGACGTATGAGATATGATCATGAGGTTTGAATCCGATTCCCCCATGTGTTTTGACCTTACACACTTACCTTTATTATTATTATAATATTATAATAATAATAATTATAATAATAATATTATTAAAAGTCATGCCCTACCATTCTTATTTCCTCTCTCTTTCTCACTGCTGCTCCTGTTAGCGGAAGAACCAGAAGAACCAGAATTTGGACATATGTTTGTTTTAATGGCAATATATGCAATTTTTCAGAGACAGATGTTTATTTATTTCAGGTTTTTTTTTTTTTTTCAATTAACTTCGTAAAATAAAACAATTTCTCAGTATCTTGACATTAACATCTTATATTTTATTATAAAATATATTGAATTTGTTGATTTTATCTAAAGCTTTAATTCTTCCAACTACCCGATTTGGCACGCTATCAAATTAATCTGATGCAATTATTTTATAATATTTAATCTTTGGTTTGATTGTTATAAACCTTTTTTAATTATAGTTTTTTTTGTTTTATAAAAATTACAATGTTTGATTTAACAAAAGATATTCGTATTTCTAATAGCATCTTTAAAGTACAGAATGGAGGAGATTTTAAGGTTTTGTTTTTTATAAATTTACAATAGAATCTTCATACAATTTTTCAAAAAATAGAAAAGATGAGAAGAAAGAAAAACAATATTTGTTTTGTAGGAGAGAGAAGAAAGAAAAATAATATAAAAATTAATAATAAAAAGTTTGTTAACATATAATTAATAATATATTATAAAATGAAGAAATTTTTACGGATTTGGTCCTTAAGGTATGTCAATTATTACGTATTTGATCTTTTATCTTTATTATTACAAAAGAAACCTCCATGTATGTAATTTTTTTTATGAATTTGGTCTTTTACACTAACGACTATTCAACTTGTCCGTTAGCTATAAGGGTAAATTGGTATTTTTAGTTTTTCTTCCTTTATTTTATCATTTCTTTAGACCACGGGGACCAAATATGTAATCTACCATTAGCTAACAATTTATTTTATTTTAGATTTTTAATTACTCTCTCTATATATATACATACACACAGATCTGGTAAACTTTATCGTTCACACCCCACATTGGTAAATCTACCTATCGAAAATAGGATTTCATTGGTTAAACATGGGTAAACCTTATCGTTCGCACCCCACATTGGTAAATTTACCTATCGAAAATAGGATTTCATTGGTTAAACATGGGTAAACCAAGAGAAGAGCTACTTAAATCACACAAAGAACTGTTGGATATTAGTCCAAACTTGTCCCACATAGGAAATAGAAGGAAAATTTCATGTGTTAATATGGTATACTCACATGACTTATCAAGTTGCACAGAGGCCCAAGAGAAGGATTTTCATTGGGCTTTGGTATGACATTACCCAATATTTAATGGTCAAAAGATTGGGCCTTGGGGCTCTTATGACCTAATCACGTTTTTGCCACATTCGACAACAGTGTCTGTAACTGCCTTTTTGCAGTTTATTTTCGGTTACCTTTTGCTTCCAGAAAATCAGATACGTTTTCACCCACACAATTTTCTCTTTAAAAGAATATCCTTTCCATATCGTTGCTTCATGGAACGTATTATCGATTCGATGGATGGAATCGGATTGACGTGCATCAATCCGATTAGATAGTCGTATCCTCAAGACGACGTCCGTTTACCAACGCACGATCTCTACACATATTGATTTCATCATATCTCTCGATCTCTACACATATTGATTTCATTGTAATTCGATTTTTACCGAATTTCTTGGTTAAATTCCTGTTAATTTTTGTTTTGTTTCTAATTTTGGAAGTGTAAGTCAATATGTCGTTGGATCGGTTCTAACAAGAACAACTCTGGTGTCTTCGTATTTATGTTAAATGTGATCCAAAAGATATCCTTACATCGAGAAGGTATGGCCTTATATCCAGCTCACAAGAAGCTTATAGACTACACTAACTTATTTGATAAAGGAACCAATACTAATACTATAGGTGGCATCAAATATAAACATTTTATCGAAATAAATAATATTAGGTAAACTATGTCGTGTCAATACTCTCCTCATCAGATTATCGTTGACCTCAAGGATAACATAGACTCCAAAAATGTTTAGTCTTCTAGAGTGCAACCTTCTTGATCCAAGTTGCTCCCACATTCTCATGCTTCCAATGTTGTTCCATTTACCTTCTTCCTCATTACCTTCATTAATCACATCCTCAGCCATGTACTCCTCTGTATTTTCTGGACCAATCAACATGTACAACTTGTTGTCTCTACACTTGTCACCAGGACCATATTGTTCATTACAAAAAAAACAATGATTATTCCTTTCCCCCCCCCCCTTTGTATTCACTCATTGACAGTTGCTTCAAATAGGTGGTCTTATTTTGCTAGTTTTAGGGTGTTGAAACTTGAGATTCTCCAATCTCAAAAGATGACAATTTATGTCATCTACCAGCACAACGATGGAAGGAAAATCATCCCATTGATCAAATTTTTGGTGATCCAAGCACAGATATTCAGATTCGTCGAGGTCTAGGTAATATCTATTTCTTAGTCAACTTTCTTTCTTTAGTTAAATCCAAGAAAATCAATGAGGTTATCACGGACCCAAGTTGGGTCAATGTTATGCAAGAAGAACTCATTAAGTTTGATAGTACTAAAGTTTGGTACATTGTCCCACATCCATCCAACAAAATTGTGTTAGACATCAAGGTGTTGTAACCTGCAACAAGGCTCGACTTGTTGCTCAATGATACAGTCAAGAAGAAGGCATCGACTATGATGAAACATTTGCACCAGTGGCTAGACTCGAAGCAATTCGATTCTTCCTGACCTATGCTGCCCATAAAAACTTCAAAGTCTATCAAATGGACGTAAAGAACGTTTTCTTAAATGAAATACTTCAAGAGGAAGTTTATACTGAACAACCTCTAGGGTTCTTGACCCTAAATATCCAAATCATGTCTATCGATTGGATAAATCTCTTTATGGGTTAAAACAGGCCCCTCGAGCCTGATATGACACCCTTTCTTCATTTCTCATCTCATAGAAATTTGTTTGTGAAAAGATCGACCATATCCTATTTCTTAGGAAAGTCAACGGTCACATCATTCTTGTCCAAATTTATATCGATGATATTATATTTGTAGGTTAGTTTATTAGTTTATTGATGTTGTTCAAAAAGTTGTACTTGTTATCGAGTTTTGATTTTAGAGTGCTATGATTCGATTTTCAAACACCGAATCAAATCAAACATCAATGAAGATGGGAATGCTTAGGTTAACCATCAATATTAAAGTTATTCGACAAGTAATAATCACCACAAATTACCTCCAATATAAACCTCACATCCTGTTTCCTATGTGTTTGCTAATGCGTTATGCATATATTCTTGCAATAATGGAGCTTCTGGCCCATTTTGAAGATTCGAATTCAATAATCTTACATCTAAATGTATTTGTTGACTTTCCTTAGTTTCAAAACTATTTATTTGCCAATTAAAGTATATTTTTGTAGGAAGACAAATGTATATCAATCAAATTGATATATAATTAATATTTTTGAATTTAAAGATTGAAATAGAAATATACAACAGGAAAATAATTTCCAGATCAAATCTTTTACCAGTTGAATATATAACGACCATGTCTATCATACTATAAACTAGTTGTTGAGGGTTTGAAGAACAATAAGTGACAAATAAAACGTTGGTTTACCTCTTACTAAATAAAAGGACAATAATACATAAATGCCTATGAGAATTTGAAAAAATCAAACAGTTTGAATAATCTTACTTTTTAACGAATTATAGATAAGAGGTTGGTAAGGATTTCTCTTGTAAAAAAACAAACAAGACTTAAATATAATATTTTAATATAAAAATTTAAACATATTTTGATGTCAAATTTGAACATGCTCACTAACATTTATGTATTTGCCTAACCATCAATATAAGTGACACCGTTTTGTTGGTTTATATCCTATTTGAATTTATTTCTAACACCAATTTAAGGGGCTGTTTGGTAATTACTAAATGATTTGGTACAAAATAATGAAGTGGTCAGAATGATTCAGAGGTTCTCATTATATAGTGCAAAATAAAATATAATTATTTGGTAATTATGCACGATGAAATTAAGGCTCTTAATGGTTAAGGGGATCCAGGATACAAAATCATTAAGAGGGTTTGAAAACAATTAAGAGATAATTGTATTACTAATTTTTTAGCACCAAACCTGTCACTAATTTTTTAGCAAAATCATCAATTTTTATATATTTTTTTAATCACAAATAAAAAAGGTAATTTTTGAAAATCGTTAAGTTATAACAATTTACTGGGGTTTGGCTTTTTAGGCTGCGTTTGATACATATGACAGGACGAGATAAAACTCGATGTCCCACGTTTGGCGACATGGGACATGACAAGAGTTCACTGTCCCACATTTGGTGCGACATGGAACAGGAACAAGAATTGGGACAGCGTGAGACAATTTTTTTTTTTGTTCCACCAAAATAGGTGGAACAAATGGACAAAAATGAGACGAAAACTAAAATATTACTAACTAACCCTCGTTTGATATATAACATTAACATGATATTTGTTTTAGTGGTCAACACCGCTAGTTGTGGCCGCCGCTGCCACCACCGGTAGCCACCGTCGGCGACCTCCCCCTCCTCCACCACCTTCACAACCACCATCGACTATCGACTACCACCGTCTATCACCACCTCCGTAACCACCATCGGCCACCTACCACCACCGTTGGCCACCTCCACCTTCTCATCTACTACAACAACCTCCTCCACCACCTCCACAACCATTGTCTTCCACTGACCACCACCACCACTACCACAGTTGGCCACCTACACCTTCTCTTCTACAACAACCTCCACCACCACCACCTCTATAACCATTGTTGGGCATCGACCAACACTGTTCATCACCACCACCATCATGGGCCACCTC